GTGTGTGTGTGTGTGTGTGTGTGTGTGTGTGTGTGTGTGTGTGTATATATATATATATAAAATGTGCAATGTGTGCACTCTTGTGTTTATGGACATATAATGTTCTTTAAGTATTTATTGATACACTACATTCAAGAGGAATAAACCACTAGTACTTAACAATCTCCCATTAAACTTACCCTAGCAACATAATACTGTTTACACTCAAGTCTCTGTCATTACTTTCACTTTGTTACTTAATACACTGGACTACTGAATGAACTGACACAATTACATGTGTAGTTTTCAATACTAGACTAACACTTCCATACCTATTAGTTTCTTCTCCTGGATAAATTTTACATTGGCAAGTACTTCTGTTGAAAGTTCAATGGCTTGGTTAAACCCATTCTCTCCTCCATACGAGACATCCACAAGCTTTAGAATCTTAGCTTGTAGCCTCTGTGTAGAAATTAGCAAAATTCTATTATTGAATGGGAAAAATAGAATAAAAAATGTCTAACAACTTTACAGTATTGTTAAACTTGTGTAAAAGATATGCTAACTGCCTACAGTAACTGATATATACACCATCGAAAAAAAAATATTTTCATACATCACATTATCATACAACATGCAGCATTTTTCAATTATTAAAATACACATTAAAACTGAATCTATATGATTACTTAATAGTTAGCACATAAAAAGTGACCACTATTTGTATGTTCACTAACAGAGAGCTCGAAGGCATTTCTCTCATTTTATCTAAAGGGGTAGCAGAAAAATAACAACCTTCTTCACGATGTTGAATGTTCACCAAAAATGAAGTGTGTTAAATAATTACTTCAAGTTTGTGGTATTCTTTTTCTGGTTATCTTTAGTCCTAGCAACACTGGTTCATTTGGTTAATTTATTTCACGGGATAAGAACTGAGAGGTCACTCTGGTATGTGTAGTTCTGAGGGAGCCTTAAACCAATGAAAGCAGAAAGACATGCTCTCCACTTCAAAATAGAGCTTTCAGAATGCATATCAATGACTTAATAAGTGTCATTTGTTAAAAACAACGTGGCAATACTTTCACATGCATAGCAGAGCATCCAATTTTAGTCAGAAAAAACAAAACAAAAATAACTTATCAGAAATACAAGGTGTTTAATCATTTTAATTATATACTGTACACACACACATACAAATTGTTTCATATTTATATTATAAAGTCTTTTGAAGAAATCAACAAGGCAAAGTAAATAATTTTTATATCTATTAATAAAACAAATCCTGGTTTCAGATTACTGTTCTTTCCTGTATAACATCTCGTTATTGAGTTAAGGAACACCAAGTCATTATTATTTTCTGTATTTTTTCCTTGTTTCCATGTCTTTTTTTTTTCAATGACCTAATTTCAATAATTGATAATCATAATTGATATTATTTACAAATATTGAATTGTAAAACTAATAATCGCTCAGCATAACAATATGATTTTTAATTGTTTTCATTTTTACAGTTATGAAATTTCTGAACTTTTATATATAATGCTTTACTTCGAGAAATCGAATATTTCATCTTCCATTTCATGTGCTTTGCATTAAGCCTAATCTTCCTTTTCATCTGCTTTGCATTAAGCCTAATCTTCCTTTTCATGTGCTTTGCATTAAGCCTAATTTTTCTTTTCATGTGCTTTGCACTAAGCCTAATTTTCCTTTTCATGTGCTTTGCACTAAGCCTAATTTTCCTTTTCATGTGCTTTGCACTAAGCCTAATTTTCCTTTTCATGTGTTTTTCATTAAGCTTAGTCAAATTTTTCAATGTATTCTTAAATGTTCAGTATTAGTTGATAGATTATTTGCTTTGCCTTCAAACTTAATTATAGTATTACCCAATGGTATTCTTTTACCTATTCACAAAAAATATTAAAATAAAGGCTAAACATTTAATTCATTAATTTGAAAGGAACAGTTGGAAATCATTCAGCCTAACAACAAGTGATTATCATAAATATCTTGTAATATTATAAAAAGCCTCTTTAAATATTTATTCTGTTATAAGATACAATTCATAAATTAGTTTCAATGACAATAAACAAAGTTTTTTTTTACGAAACGTACAGGATCAAACATATCAGACTGGCTAAGTTCTGTTTTAAAGTCTGCCGATCCAGCTAAAATAAGACCAGCAATGTTAGGCTTGTCGTTGGAGATGAAAAGTTGGGTTGCTACTTCGGCCACTTTCCGAACATAATTATGTCTTTTTTCCATTCTTAACCTGGCAAATCGAAGTGCTGACTGTCCACCACGACCTAGTGTAAAGAAAATCCTAGCATTTTCTAAAAACCCAATTCCATAAACATTTGACTTCCAGTAGAGTATTTAAAATAAAACCAGAAACATTTTAGCTTGAATACTATCACAATATTTACCTTATTCATACACTCATTAAACTTGGAAACAAAAATATCTGGACTGTAATACAGTATTTACCTTACTCATATGTTCATTAAACTAACAAACAAAAATACCCAAACTGTAATACAATGTTTAGCTAACTCACAATGTCCACAAATTAAGAAATAAATATCTGAACTGTAACATAATGTTTAGCTTACTCACAATGTCCACAAACAAAGAAACAAAAATACTCAAACTGTAATACAATGTTTAGCTAACTCACAATGTCCACAAATTAAGAAACAAAAATACTCAAGCTGTAATACAATGTTTAGCTTACTCACAATGTCCACAAACTAAGAAACAAAAATACCTAAGCTGTAATACAATGTTTAGCTTACTCATAATGTCCACAAACAAAGAAACAAAAATACTCAAACTGTAATACAATGTTTAGCTAACTCACAATGTCCACAAATTAAGAAACAAAAATACTCAAGCTGTAATACAATTTTTAGCTTACACACAATGTCCACAAATTAAGAAACAGAAATATCTGAACTGTAACGTAATGTTTAGCTTAAGTTTCAGCGAAGTTGGTGGTAAATGAATACATACTAACGTTTGGATTTGTGATAATGTACAAAAAACAAATAGCTACTCTGATGATAATCAAATTTTCATTTTCAGAATTTACTAAATTAGTTTTTGTTTGTAGAGATGTGAACCAACTTTTTAAAAAATGAGTTAAGTATCATCCAAACAGCCAAAGCCTGATATAGTGAGAACATTAAACTTTGACCAATAAAAGAAAGCCTTATTTTCACTTGATTTGTGTTAACAAATCAGAAATAGAGATTGTTGTTTGTGTGTTTTGAATTGTACCTTAACCTTCTTTAACCTACCATGTTTTTTAGGTAAGTCAACAGTAAACTTGTGTAGGACGTCTCGAGTATTTCCCTGAAGAGTTCCAAAGAGAGCTCCGTTACCATCCATAACGATAAATCCAAATTTGTTATCATCTGCTAACAATGCTGAGAGGGCCTGAAAATAATTATTTTGTTCTAAAGCTTAAGTATCTTACTTAAAAATGAAGCTAAATTAACTTCCAGTTCTTCAGTAAAATACATTCATGAATGCAGAATTTCACACTATATCAGTTGATAAGTAGAACATCCAAAATAAGTTTCATAATATGATGTTTAATTAGAAATGGACTAAGTTACTTATACATCTCAAAAATAGAAGAGATAAATTAAATGTTTATAAAAAAGTCACCAACAATTCTACATTCCCAAAGTTTACTACCCATCAGATCAGTAGGTACAAAAGTCACCAACAATTCCACATTCTCAAAGTTTACTACCCATCAGATCAGCAGGTACAAAAGTCACCAACAATTCTACATTCCCAAAGTTTACTACCCATCAGATCAGTGGTACAAAAGTCACCAACAATTCCACATTCCCAAAGTTTACTACCCATCAGATCAGTAGTTACAAAAGTTGGTGCTACTATAGCATGCAGTGTACAAAGATATTTACACTATAGCATGTGGTCTACACAGATATTATCATCATCACCATTTTAATGATTCAAAATTTCTTGCTAAATAATTTATATATCTATCCACGTTCAACAAATAATTATAAGTTGTGTGTTCCAAAAGAGTACCTTAAATTTAGGTTATAATTATGCTAGTTTTGATTATTGGAATTTATTTCATTCTTATTATATTTGCCCCTAAAACATTATGTAATGTTATGTTGTACTTTATTAGTTTAAAAGTGTTTTTTTTATAATAAATGAAAGTTAAAGCGATGATGATGATACTACACTATAGTACCACCCAAAAGTTTATTACTGCTACCTACCTACCTACCACAACTTGACACAAAATTATTTTTTTTCAACTAACATACCTCTGTATGGAATTTGTTGTCACATAAGTATAGAGAGGTATTGATGGGCTTGAATGGTTCAAAGTCAATATTGACCTTTTTTTTCCTGCCTTCTTCTGTTACAATTGTTCCACAGTAGATGACAAGACCATTTGGAGGAACTGCAGTTAAAAAAAAAAGGCAGTTTTCTCTAGAATATAGACACTGTCAATTTTTAATAAAGTGAAACCAACGAGTTAATATTTCATTTTTATTCCTACACTTTAACTTCATTTATTTGTTTGAGTAAATGTTGCTTATACTTGAACGATCCTCTTTGACACAAATACATCTTTTTTATTTTGTAGTTTCTAAAGAACTTTGGTTACAAAATTTTACAATACAATCACTATTGTGGTTCTCAGTGAGAAACTTTTGAGTCAAGTGCACAATTTTTGTGTAAGTTAAACAATGAATTTTAAATATTTACAAAAGAAATAACTATTTTGCTTTTTTAACGTTAATGAATTGTCTGTTCAGTAGTCAAAAAAACTCTAGAACGCAAATTTACCAAACCTTGCTTCTCAATGCCAAGATTAAGTTTTAACTTTGAGGTTATATAATTAACCTTAAACAAACTATTATCTTTTTTGAAATGTTCTCATACTTGATGGCTAACTTTCCAGAAAATTCTTGTTTTTTTCTACATGGAGCATTACCTTTATTGTAGAGCTTTAACCTTTGTTGTACTGAAGTGATGGCACCGAGCACCGACAGTCGGTTGACTCGGCTTTTAATGTTAGAGGCCGTTCCAAATTCATCAGCTAACATTTTTGAGACTCGTGAAATTTGGTCCTTGGGAGGGATGATAAGGGATATCATGCTCGTTCCATTTCTGATTAATAAAAGAATCTTTATCTTCTCAAAAACAAATTCATCAAATGTTTGACAAAACAATGTATACAGAAACTGTAGAAAATATTCATTTAATACAAGTGAAGACAAAACCAAAACTCAACATAAGTTTGGGAAATCAAGAAATGTAATTATAGACTGATTATGCACTTTATTAACTAACTCATTTATAATACGTTTCAAAGTTTGTAAACCTATTGTAGTATATTTCTTTAGATACACATTTTGTTATACACATGGGTATTCTTCTTTGGGTGGACAGAGATGCACAGTTTCAATGAGGAGTACAAGGTACAACCCTGATATACATTTGTTCACATGACTCTACACAAGAGTTTCATGCCCACAGATGTCTTTAATTTTTAACTGACAGACTAGAAGGGAGATAGCTAGTCTTAACTACCCACTGACAACTCTTGAGGTATTCATCCTGTTGGACAGCAGACTGTGACCATAACTTTTATAACACACCCACACGTTGTAAGTCTGCAGAAAAGAAGAATTAAAAATTCAAGTTCGTGTACGTTACAGAACGCATAGAAAATTTTGAGAAAAATCAAGTACTAGATGACAAGACGTCAGACACAAGAAATAACTCATTTCCTTTTCTATAGCATCAAAGGGGATGTGATCCATGAATTCTTGGATTCACAGTCTAGGCACACTAACCACTTGGTAGCATAGTGGCTCATAGAACGGCATTTTATTTTATTTTTCAAGTACAAACTTTTAGCTCATATCTTGACCAATTTGAGATCTAATTACAGTTTTGGACTCAGGAAGTCAAACCCTTTAAACTGATGTGTTTGACCATGCCCAAAGTTTTATATATTAATTTACTCTAATACTGCCTAAAAAAAATTTCAATTTGAGGTTAGCGTGGTAGAGATCCTGGTAAGTAATAACACTGAACTGGGTATACAAGCACTCCATGCTTGGTATTGCTAGCTCACTAAAATATAGCTAATAAAAAGGAAAAAAAGGTCTCATAGATTAATTTACTCTAACCTTGTCTAAAAGAATTTCAAGTGCTGTGACTATTGAGGATTCCCTCTTCTTTTTAAAAAAAAAAGGTTGGTAAAGTTTGCCGTTTTTTATGATTTTGTAAAAAGAAAAACCTAAACGTTTAAGAGTAGTTCATATCTGTTGATTTTTCCACATTAATGGAAAAAACTACTGAAAAGATGGTATGCGTTAAATTAATTAACACAAAATATGGTATGCATTAAATTAATTAATACAAAATATAGTATGCATTAAATAAATTAATTAATACAAAAGATAGTATGCATAAATTAATTAATTCAATAAATACAAAAGATAGTATGCATTAAATAAATTAATTAATACAAAAGATAGTATGCATAAATTAATTAATTCAATAAATACAAAAGATAGTATGCATTAATTAAATTAATAAATACAAAAGATAGTAATGCATTAATTAAATTAATAAATACAAAAGATAGTATGCATTAATTAAATAAATAAATACAAAAGATAGTATGCATTAATTAAATAAATAAATACAAAAGATAGTATGCATTAATTAAATAAATACAAAAGTATTACTCATAGATAGATTGATGAAACACCGAGGTTGAGCAAAAAGATGGTTTGTTTAACATTACCTCTCTCTCTCTAACAATAAAAACTTCTTAATTCTAATATGTTAAATGTACTTTCTCTTCTGCCAGGAGCTAAGCAGTACAAACCATTGTAGCCAGCACTTTCCCACCAATTTAATGAGTCCAGCCAAAACGGTGCCAGGTGCACAAAATATTTAATCTAAAACCTGTAACTTTTCCTCCAGAGAATGAGAGAAGAATGCTACTGTTTTACAAAAAGATTTGAATTATTTGGTGAGTGTGGAGAATAAATGGCAGATGACTCTTAATTATAATAAATGCAACGTAATGTATGTGGGATATCACAATTTGAATTATGGGCATAATTTTGATGCAAATAAACTTAACACCTTGGTGTTCTGGTTGATTAGTCTTTTAAGCCATCCAAGAAATGTACTTTTACTAGTAGCAGGGCTAATAGGATTTTAGGTTGTATCTACAGGAATATTGAATACAAGTGACAAGGTTATAAGGTCATCGTACATGTCACTGGCTAGGACACATCCGGAGTTCTGAGTTCAGTCTTGGGTTCCTAACCTAAGAAAGGACATTAAATTGTTGGAAAGGGTTCAGAGGAGGGTTGCTAGAATGGTGTCTTGGATGAAGTGTTTGTCATATGAGGAGAGATTACGATCATTGAAACAGTTTTCTCTTGAAAAAGAGTTAGAATCTGATTGTGGTGTTTAAGGTTGTTAAGGGAATTGATGGTATTCCTGCATCATATTTTTTGTATTTAATGGTGAGAATGGTAAGACTAGGAGATAGAAATATAAATTTTACCAGGGTAGATGTCATCTTCAGCCAAGACAGATTTATTTTTCTAACAAGGTGGTTGGCATTTTGAATGAATTGCCTTCAGATGCAGTTAATTTAAGGAAGTTGATAAATATTTAAATGATAAGAGCTGGCCCAGATAGACCAAAAGGTCCTTTAATGTTAATTAAAAGAATGCTGCTTTCTAGCAAAAATTTAATTAATTTATATTGATCACTGGACACATTACAGAGAAACTTGATGATTTCCAATTCAAAACTAAGTGACATAGGGATTAATTTGCATCAAGGTGAGGTAGAAGCTGAAACATTGCAACAAGAAGTTTAAATTGAAGATTGAATGAGTATTTTAGAGATGGAAATGAAATGGGAGGGGATGTTATAAAGTTTTAGAAAGATTTCTAAGACATATTTCACACTGAAATGTATACCTACCTTAAAAAAAATGTATATTAAAGAGTCAACAGTGAAAATATTAAAACAAACTTCTTGTGACTGAATTTAGAAAAAAAAAAGGATTACTATAAATCCTAAAGCAAAGTTTCTGTATGTATACAAAACATTTTTTGTTGAAAACTTTTCTCAGTATTATATCTCAACATGAAATCAGTAAAAAATAAAAATAAAAACAGCTTAACAGTTTCAGTAAAGAAAGTAAACAAAACCTTAACAAAAGTTTCCAAAATTGTTGGTTTTATTTTGCCATTCTTTTAAAGCAAAGTTATTTTTTCCCTTAACATGCATAGAAAATGAATATTTCATTTAACTACAACCATGTGCAATATCTTTTCTTTCTACAATTAATTTAAAATAGAACACTCCTTCTGAATTTGTCAGGTTTTTTCCTTTCTTTCCCAAAAGAAGAAGAACACTACCATAAAATACGAACTTACCCTCTTGCAGCTTCTAAGCTTTTAATTAACTTTTTAACTTTCCAAACTTCAACATTTCTATCAGCACTTGATTCCTCCATCTATGACTTTGGTACAAAAACAAAAATTGTTATTGTTATGACTGAACTGGAAATAAAACAATTTTAAATGTTGCTTATCCTCTCTGAATTATTACTTCACAACAAATATACAAACAAAATAAAACACCCGAAATATTTTAACTTACTCAATATATCTAAAAACCTTTTTCAGTAATTATGTTTCATTAATATATTTGTCTTGCCTTGAAAGTAGTTCATCCATTAGACACTTCAGCAGAAATAACCCAACATTATGCAATAAACTCACTGTAAAATAACCCAATCACGTCTAATAACATCCACACATCAAAAGATGTTACTATTCAATGGTTCATAATTTGTGCAAGAGATGGGGAATTATGAAACTGAAAAGCAAGTACAAGTTCGAAATATTGTTAATATTACATAAAATAATGGTGATACACTAATAAAGTATTATTATTAGTATTACTAATATAATACTAATATTTGCTAATAGTAATAGCATAAATAACAAACACTGAATCTACAAATTGAAAAAAATGAAATTACTTATTCAGTTTTGAAAAATTATTTTAAATAAAGCTGAATTATCCGAAAGCCATTTCATAAACATATGTTCCAACTTCTATTATAATACTTACCTAGGCTATGCTAACGTCGTTACTTCTCAACAACTCCACAAAAGTAACACAAGCAGGCCTAATTCACTGGTCGTACTACTAGTAGTACTTGCGTTGTGAAGTTGATGACCTCTCTTTACACCTGCTGAACACTGAGAAAAAGTCGAATCAAATATGAATATCAAAGAGTGAAGCCGTGGTAACAGTGTTATTGTGTTACTTCCAATACTAAATGCTGATTATTAATAACTACTGCCAATTGTAACAGCGGTTGTGATTGTACTTTAAATTTAGAATAGAAATAAATGAGCTACGTTACGATTAAGCCTAACTAAGCTTACCACGATAATTTATTCTGAAGCAGAATTTGAAAATTAGAGAAATATCGCATCCAAAAATAGTTCTTGTATACAACACAATCCAAGAACGTTTTTGTTTGTGCTGTCCTGAAGGCCGGTAATTTTCAAGAAAAGAATGGAATTAATTATGAATATTTCACATCGGATCACTTTCACATACAACCCCAAGTCACATTCGACAGCAACACGAAAGAGAACGAATGTGGACGGACTCCTTCCTACCATGTGGATAATCTTGACGTCAGCACCTATGGAATATATACGTTGGCAATACAGATAAATATAATTAATATATATATATATATATATATGGACACTACTTTGAATATATATGTAAATATATTTATGATATGTTTATTTGTTGAATTTCGCGCAAGGCTACTTGAGGATTATCTGTGCTAGCCTTCCCTTCTTAGAAGTGATAAACTAATAGGAAGTCAATTCCATTCACCGCCAGCTCTTTGGCTAGTCTTTACCAACGAAAAGTGGGATTAATCGTTATATTATAACACCCCCACGGCTTATAGGAATTAGAACCCTCCAACTGCAGATTGTGAGTCTAACGCCCTAACCTCCAGACAATGCCAAGTCCCTACATTTAAAAATAGTTTAGGCAATTACAGCTGTCATAAAGCTTTTCAAGAGCACCACACAAATTATATTATTTTAAACTCGTGCTACGTTGTATTTTTGTCCTAAATAATTTCAAATGGATATAAAGTAATTTATTATTTTTCTAATATTGCAAAGTACAGTAAACATGTATATACTCGACAACGTGAGCCATGGCGAGAGGTTCTATCGATTCTTGGAGACAGGTTACATGCTGTAATATTCAGTACCATTGTCAGAATAGGAAAAGTTATAGAAAATGACGATGACAACATTTTAAGAGATCGGAGCCATAAATGGCTTTGTAACTGTGGTGCCTCTAGTGCCATTTTCAAAAACTAACGGATAGATTTTAACAAGTTCTCACCGTTTTACTTAAATATTCGAAAACGAGACTATTTTTTCATAGTCTAATTAAAACAATGGTTCACTAAAAGGATAAATGTGTAGCCAATCTATTTTTCGATTTATGAGTTATCATTTGTTTCTGGAAATTTCAAACATGACGATAGTTTTTCCTTTCCACCTCAGCTCATGGCGACACCTAGCAATTCCGGTTTGACGAATTTTAAAGTACAATACACGTTATTCACGCGTTAAAACTGTGTGTTGTATGGATAGTTAAATTGCACCCTACTAAGTAATCTTCTTCTAATAATACGATATCCTATAACCCGAGTGTTTCGAAAGCGCTCGGGTTAAGGGTATTGTATTTTCATGTTAAATTGATTAAATTGAACCAACGTGTTTTCCTAAGGTCATGAATCTTCTCCCTAAAGCTGCAAAAAAAAAGAAAAAAGAAAGAAACAACAGAAAAACTAAAGAAAATAACACACAGAAAATTAAACAACATAGACACTTCATGTATAAACAAGATTAAGTTTCTTAGCCTAATGTTCGACAACAAACTATCATGAAACCACCATATTAGAGTCCCTAGTGTCACAGCGGCATTCTGCGGACTTACAACGCTAGAAATCGGGTTTCGATACTCGTGGTGGGCAGTGTACAGATATCCCATTCTGTAGCTTTGTGCTCCAACTACAAACAAACCACCATATTAAAAACACAGGTTTCCTTCCTTATAAACCAGATACAGAAATTCAAACAAAGGCTGTACCAGTAAAACAATTATTAAACTCTATAAAACATATACCAGATCAATTTTTGGATATGGTTGTCCTACACTGAAAGTACAAACTACAAGTCATGCAAATAGCCAGACAACTACCTAAATAGATATATAATTCTGTAACCCAAGAGCTTTCCAAAATGTACCTTTTTTTCAGTTTGCCTCTGAAAAACAAAGACCCTAACAACATTGTCGAATATTTCAGGAGAGTACCATATTGAAATTTATTAACATCCTTTATCTCAGTGGCGTAGCTAGGTGCAAAATTTGGATGAGTCTGGAGCTACTAATGATGAGTGGTGGATACACAAGACTGTTCAGTTCAAGAGTTATTATTTAGTAACTTAATGTTTAATGATCATTTAGTTTTCATAACAAGAGTGTTAAAAGTTAATTATTTTAGAAGCGATAGTTATGATAAACTTCGTCAGGTAACTCTGTATGAGTCCTACATTGTGTATGCAGTTTGTTGTACTAGGTTTTCGTAATATTGTTGACGTCATTTTATTCCAAGCTTCCTCGTTCTGTGAATAATGTTGTCACTAGAGGGCTAGATATTTTTAGATTTTTCTGTTGTGTGTTATAAATATGTGCAGATACGGAGTGCAAGTAAGAAGTTAAAGGAAGTTAGTGAAGATAGACTGAGTGATTATCAGTTTAGCCATAACAGGCGATATCTAAAGTGAGTTTCACAGTGGTATTGTAACAACAGAGATAAAGAATAATAATTTGTCTTGACAAAGATTTTTCTAAAATATTAGGTCGTCAAA